TCTATATATCTATTGCTTAGATTCCCCAGGGATAGTTCTAGTCATTTTTTTTAGGTGAATAGTGATCAGCTATTATTCGTGTTTATTAGATTTATATAGATACTTTATGTAAGTACTGCCTTTACTAGTCATAGTCTTTAAACATAAATTCATACATATATATATATAATGTGTGTATATAGACACATAATTGACATTTACAATTCTATGAATTGCCATATTCCTTTTTTATATAAAAGATGTATTTATTTATTTACTTTTTTATTTATTTGAAAGGCAGAGTGACACAAAGAGAAGGAGAGACAATCTTTCATCCTCTGTTTCACTCCTCACATGCCTGCAACAACTGGGGCTAGGCTAGGCTAAAACTAAGATCCAGGAATTCTGTTTGGGTCTCCCACATGATTGGTTTGAAACTAAGTAACTGAGCCATCATGTGCTGTCTCCTAGGGTTTTTATTAGCAGGAAGCCAGACTGGAAGCTGAGGTGGGACTCCAATCCTAGGCATTCCAAAATGGGGTACTGGCATACCAAGAGGCAGCTTAACCTGCCGTGTTAAAATGTCTAACCCCTTCTCCCCTGGCTTTTTATCCTCTTGACATGAAAGAATTGTGGAGTTCTTTCTTTTTTAAAAAAGATTGATTTTGTTTATTTGAAAGGGAGAGTGACAGAGACAGAGGGAGACATACAAAAAGCGACCTTCCATCTGCTTTTTCATTCCCTAAATGGCCATAATAGGGGGGTTGGGCCAGGCTGAATCCATGAGCCTGAAGCTCCAGCTGGGTTTCTCACATGGGTGTCAAGTCCCAAGCACATGGGCCATCTTCTGCTACCTTCTCAGTGCATTAGCAGAGAGCTGGATCAGAAGCAGAGTATCTAGGGTGTGAACTGGTGCTCTGATATGGGATGTCAATGTTGTAGGTGGGCGCTTAACCTGCTATACTGCAACGCCAGCACCATTGTGCAGGTTTCATACTTGTGTGTCTACTGCTCGGATCCATAATAAATATCTTTCTTATTTTTCTTCTTAACATTAAAAAATCAGCCAGCGCCATGGCTCAATAGGCTAATCCTCTGCCTATGGCACTGGCACTCCAGGTTCTAGTCCCGGTTGGGGTGCCAGATTCTGTCCTGGTTGCCCCTCTTCCAGGCCAGCTCTCTGCTGTGGCCAGGGAGTGCAGTGGAGGATGGCCCAGGTGCTTGGGCCCTGCACCTGCATGGGAGACCATGAGAAGCACCTGGCTCCTGGCTTCGGATCAGCGCAGTGCGCCGGCCACAGCACGCCAGCCACAGCGGCCATTGGGGGGTGAACCAATGGCAAAGGAAGACCTTTCTCTCTGTCTCTCTCTCTCACTGTCCACTGTGCCTGTCAAAAAAAAAATTAAAAAATTGACATCCATACTTTAACTCATATTTTCTTAGTTTTATACCTCCATGCCCACCCCTAGCCATCATCTTTCTCCTTAGGCTCCTTGTGGTCATGAACATTTCTCAGATGTCCCATTTTTGATGATCGTGACAGGTTTGGGGAGAAACATACTTTTTCCCCACTTTTCTTAGCTCTTTTAAAGTGCTTTACATGAAAGGAAGCAAGCAACAGAGCACTCTTCCTCATGCCTCAGATTAACTTCGTTACCCATGAAGATGAGAACCCCGAGGACAGGAATCTTCCCTTTATGAAGGATGGCAGTCCTCATGTATTGCACTTCAGTGTGTGTTGCTGAATGCACGAGTAGTTGCTCACGTGATTTGATTTTGTATTGAATCCAAGGTCTTCACGAAAGGATAAAAAAATGGAGATAATTTTATTCACAGAAAGGATCCAGGGGCCTCATGTAATAACTTCATTTGCTGTGAACAGGTGTCTTTCTGGCTTTATTGAGCTTGGGGAAAGAGGTGTGGAGGGTGCAGACAGGATGAGGCTACTGAAAGAGCAGGCTGATGGGCACTGAAGGGTTTATTAGGGCAAGCTGAGGTCTTCCCTAGTGAAAGTCTTCTCTGGTCACTCTGATTTAGGCAGGCCATGCTGAAGAAATCATTTGCTCTTTGTTCAAAAGCTCAGATAACTGGACATGTCTCTTAGACTCCCCTTGTGTGTGTGTAGCAGAGAAGGGGAGAGTGAATAGAGGAGGAAGGTGCAGTCTCTGGCCTTATAGCACGACTCTCCAGGAGTAGTTACTTCATTCAATACAGGGCCCAAATGTAACATGGCTTCTTCTCAAAAGCTACCCCAGGTCACCATTGGTATCTCACGTCTCTGAAAGAACAGTCTTTTGTCTCTTCCTTTTTCTGTTTATTTTTAGACACCTGATAAGTCTTGTATTGTATTAAAGAATATTGCATTGTAGAAACAGTATCCTCTAATATGTATTATGCAGATAAAAGAAAATCCCACTCAGTCAGACATCGTAGCAGCAAAGGGATGTTTTTCTCACTGCCACCTGGTTCCTATATGTCCTGTCTTTGTATTTAGGGACCACTTGTTAATTTCATGGCTCTCTACTCCTTCTATATTATCTTCTGATTTTCTCTGAAACTTTTCAAATTTTTGATAATAAAAGGTGGACTTGCAAAGATTCCTCATGTATTGGATGATCAGAAACAAAATATAATTATAAAAATTATTAAATCAGATAACCTATTCAAGCATAAATTTTAAAAATATATAGCAAAATAATTGAACAAATGTAAAAATTTTAAATTGATATGGGTATGCTCTTGGCCTCCAAAGAAGTCAGTAGAAGTATTATTATTCATACCCTTCACAACCAAGTAGATCAACATCCCAGCATATTTAAAAATCTTTGCAACATAGAGTTGACACATCATAATATTTTAATAGCATAAATTTCCACTAGCATTAATTACTGCATAAATAACGTTCATTATGTTGATTATAAATGTTAATTTCTTAGAGCAATCATAATTTCCTTTAATCTCCTTTGTCAATGTTTTCTCAACTGCAGGTTATGACCCATTAGTGGGTCATGAATTCAATTCAGTGAGCTAGAATAAGCATTAAATAGAATAGATTACAATAGAAAATATCCAATTTCATTGTATAATATCATTGTAAATATTATTTAATGTATTTTCAATTTCCTAATTATACATAAGTGTAACCACTGGCTATAGTATTGTAGTGTTTTATATATAATATGTCATCCTCCAAACAGTTGGAGAACATCCACTCTAGAGTACAACCAGTACATTCTAAGACTGACCCAAAGGTGAAGCACATTTTAAAGGGTGAAAGAGGAAGAAAATACTTTAAATAGAAAGTTATGATGGCCCTATGTTCTTACTACAAATTGGCTTACTTTCCCAATAGCTATGAGTTTTGTTCAAGGTCAGCAATATATTGCTGCATTTCTTATTACCAGTGGTATCGGGATACCTTGGTAATATATGTAGATGGGAGCTATGGGGTCAGATTATCCCCACCATTTGCTGGCCAACTCATCTCGGGCACATTACTGCATTTCTGTGTGCCTTAATTTCCCTATTGATGAAATGAAGTTTAAAATAAACTAGTATTTAAACTGTTGTGAAGAATAAATGAATTTATGCATAAAGTTCAACTACAGTGTTTGGCCAGTAAATGTTAATTATCAACATTATTTCTTTTTCTTATCTTTATATAGGAATAGCAAATATTTAAAAAATATTTAGTTATGTATTTGAAAAGAGTTACAGAGAGAGGAGGGAGAGAAAGAGAGAGGGAGAGAGAGAGAATCTCCCATCCTCCCATTCAATCCCCAGATGGGGCTGGGCCAGGATGAAGCAGAGCCTGGAAGCTATCCAGGTCTCCCATGTTGGCGGCAGGGGTGCAAGCACTTGGACCATATTCTGCTGGGTCCCAAACACATTGTTAGGCAACTGGATTGAAGGTGGAGAAGTGGGTATTCAATCCAGTGCTGATATGGGATGCTGGCATCAAAGGCAGCTGCTTAATCTGCTGAGTTGCAACAGAAATCCCAGGAATAGCAAATATTGAAGGGTTATTTGCCTCAAACTTTTATTTTTTTTCTCTGATAAACAGAGAGGGAAACCCACAATATTCTTTATGGTTCATTCCATTCATGGTCCCTGCTCCCTTGATTCTTCTGCCCAGTGTTTGTATTATTTAGGTCATTGGAATGAAATGATTCAGACCTGAGATACTCAACCTAGGACACAGGACACATTTCATGGAATTGGAACTTGAAATGTGACCAAGACTTTTAATGAATATATATATTTGAGGAGTGAGTGGGGAGGATCAATGACTACTATTGTCAATGAAGTCACATACGTTATTGTGAAGAGTTAGACATTCTTGGACCTGAGTCCATGCTATGAATTCGCTTTATATTATTAAGATACATTAACGTGGTATTTGGCCTGCAGAACTTGAAGCAAACAGTGTTTCTCTTGGATATGGACTCAAGGATGAGGATATGCAGTAAGATATCTTTGTAATATTGGAAATAAAAATATGATAAAAACTACCCTATAAATGGAAATTCTACAACCCACAGTAGCTTAGAGTTAAATTAAATGCTCCATGATACCCAATATAGTAACCTATTTTTTGTTTGTTTTTCCCCTCTTCTCAATGGCCTTGATTTCTGTTTTAATGTAATATTGTCTACACACACATATGCCATTTCAAATTGCTTTTGAATGTAGATAGGGTAATGATTACTGTTGAATAACATCAGAAAACTTAGTGTCTTACATATTATGTTATTCTTTATATATTTTTAATACTCAACGGGCAAGATTTGAATTGTAATATATTTAAATTTTACAAAATTGAGTCAAACCCTAATAGATTTGTTCTAGGGGAATTTGATAGAAATAGGAGTATCTTACAGGAGGGGCCCTTCTGTTATGTGTAATTAAGTGTGTCATGGTATCATTTGAGATGATAATTACTATTAGGAAGCAGAAGCTTGCTGTGTTAATCCATTTAAATTATTTTTGCATTCTCTGGACACAGAAACTCAGTATTTTACCTTTGAGTAAAGCTGTCAGGATAGCTAAATCAATGTCCTGGTGTCCTTCTGATCCCATCCGAAATACCGTAATCTGCAATTTGAGACAAAGTGACCATTAGCAATGCATTTTTCCCTCAAGAGAAATTAAATAGAGATCACATTGAACAGAAACTGTCTTGAGATCTACGAAGCAGATTCTTAACCATGGGGCAAGCACACATAGCAAGGATCCGGAAGAAGAATTCACTAAGAGAGAAATGCTGCAGGAGCCCCCCAGCAGAGATCACATTTGATGACTATACTGACTGTGGTTCCAGTGGGGAGGAACCAGAGACTGAGGAAAATGACCTCTCCTATTGTTTCCATTTTAAAAATTCAGACTTTTAGGATTTATAAAACATGTAAGCCATAATATAAACTATGAGTTGAGAAATATTTAAGAAATAACTAGCATGCCATTTAACAAATGGCCAACTGCGTGTTTGTGTGTGTGTGTTAATACATCCATGCAGCACAGCCATCATGACACTCGCGGCTCAATGATAGTTCTCAAGGGTTTCGATGTTGTGATTGAAATGTTTTTCTGTCCTCTGAACAACCTTGAACTTCCTTTAGGATAATTTAACACTATACTCCAGTTCTAAGAAGTGGAAAGTAGAAAATACAATAAACTCCATCCTTTTGGTAATTCAGGGGATGAAAGTATTCTTTGGGGAAGAATAATGGGAGGAGAGTAAAGAACTAGTAGGGGAAAATGAATTCTTATGGGAGACTTGAATGTTGACAGAAGAGAACAAAAGAGGGAATTGGGAGACTCATTCCAAAGAAGGTGCTTTTTACTAACAATTGATACTGCTGCCACGAACTAGCCTCTGGGAATAATTTGATTTTTGTGACACTGAAAATCCCCTTCATAACCTTAAAATTCACAGACATTAAAAGAAAGTCAAGGGAAATGTTATCTGGGTGTACTCACTTTTGGCCACAAAAGGCCTGAGCTTATGTTTCTGGGAGGGATCTTTAATGGGCACACAGGAAGTGTCATGGCATTCTTACTGCTGCACCCCAGAGGATTAGTTCTTATCTTGTGCTCTAAAAAAAGAAGTGAGTTGCCTCAACAACAGGGGATTGACATTCCCCTTCCTTTGTTACTTTACAGAATGCTGGTCACAGAGTATTCATCTTTGAGAGACAAAGAGAAGCAGCATTGTATGACACAGGTAGCATTTTGGAGGTGGAGTTCACCAGGAAAGACTCAGTATGGAAGGAAGGGTCAGACAGCAAGTGTCCCAGGGCAGGTTATGACTCATGAATGAGCCCCTGACACAGGAAAGGGAAAGCTCATCCTAGCAGCAATTGGAGGGGACAAAAGAAATAAGGATAAATTTCAGTAATTCCTGGCCAAGAATTAACTAAAAAATGATATTGGAGCAGAAGTTTGCATAGGAATCCACATATAAAGAATTTGTCTTAGAGAATAAGTCTTACAGAATAAAGCTTAATCTTTCTTAGGGAATCATTTTGTCATCTTCATAATGGCTTGATCGAGACTGTCATCATGGGAAAGTGTAAAAGTTTAGTGAAGAGACTGGTGCTGCTGCTCACTTGGCTAATCCTCTGCCTATGTCACTGGCACCCTAGGTTTTAGTCCTGGTTGGGGCACTAGATTCTGTCCCAGTTGCTCTTCTTCCAGTCCAGCTCTCTGCTGTGGCCCGGGAAGGCAGTGGAGGATGGCCCAAGTGCTTGGGCTCTGCACCCGCATGGGAGACCAGGAGGAAACACCTGGCTCCTGGCTTTGGATTGGCACAGCGCACTGGCCTTAGTGGCCATTTGTGGGGTGAACCAACAGAAGGAAGACCTTTTTCTCTGTCTCTCTCACTGTCTAACTCTGCCTGTCAAAAAAAAAAAGTTTATTGAAGAATAAGCCATCTTCTTGGAGTGAATGAGAGGCTCCAATGGCAGACCATGTCACTGGTGATATTAAAAGAGAATCTTGCAAACCACATTGCACTCCAGCCTGGAGTGCTAGTTGGGGATAGGATGCCCACCTAACCCCATGAAGGGAGAGCACTTTGCTTTCTGCTCATCTTGCCACGAGGGAACCCAATGATTGGCAAGGAGGAAGCACCATTTTTTTCTTTAATTTTAATTTTATTTTTTTGACAGGCAGAGTGGACAGTGAGAGAGAGAGACAGAGAGAAAGGTCTCCTTTTGCTGTTGGTTCACCCTCCAATGGCCGCCACGGCCGGCATGCTGCGGCCGGCGCACCACGCTGATCCGAAGGCAGGAGCCAGGTGCTTCTCCTGGTCTCCCATGGGGTGCAGGGCCCAAGCACTTGGGCCATCCTCCACTGCACTCCCTGGCCACAGCAGAGAGCTGGCCTGGAAGAGGGGCAACCGGGACAGAATCCGGCGCCCCGACTGGGACTAGAACCCGGTGTGCCGGCGCCACAAGGCAGAGGATTAGCCTATTGAGCCATGGCGCTGGCCTAGGAAGCACCATCTTGATAAGGCCAGGAGAGGATGCCATGGCAAGCGCATAACTGGGGAATTTTATCAGAAGGATAAACCCACAGTCCCCACTGACTTTGAGTCTGGCCTGTAGTTGTGGGTGGGGAGTGGGGCACCCACTTAGGCCTGTGAAGTACTCCTCTTCCCCCATTCTATCATGGCACCTAGATTAAACCTGCCAAGGTGGAGCATCAACCAACTTCTCTTAGGTAGGCAGCTGGCTCTGGCCTTGGCTCTCTCCATAGATAGGGAAGGCTCACAGGGCTGAGAATGGATCACCTGCTCCCTGGGCCTGTGGGAGCTCTGTGGGCTATGACTGTGGGAATTCTAAGACTGCATGATAGGGTGGGGGTGTGGCTGGGTCTCTGGGTAATCACTGTGTCTGACTTCAGAGGTGCAGAGTTCCCTGAGGCCTGGGTGAGTCGTCACAGAGGATTCTGTGCTCATACAGCGGAACACACAAATCCTGTGTGTGGTTCATATGCCTGCATTAAGTGAGGTGTGTAGCCACTCTGGGCTTACTCTGGGAAGTGGGTTCACCTTGGTAGAGAGGGGTGAGGCTGAGATCATGCCATCTGATGCAATCATACCCTCCCCTTCTGACAATAGAGATCTACCATGCCCAACTATGGTGTTACTTTGGACTCTTGCCCCACCCTCAAGCTCTGTCCTGAGCTCCCTGCCCCCACCCAGCACATGCCTCTGGATATATGCTGAAGGAACAGACTTTCTACTAAGCCATGGAGTCATATTTCAAGTATAAGAGGAGAAAACCAAATATTTCCACAAATGCCTGAAAATAAATATAGACTTGCAAGAAACATGGACATCAGAAACCCTATAGGCTAAGAGAATGGAGAGACAAAGTCCAAATCCTAAAAAAAAAAAAACAAACAAACCAAAACTGTCAACCCAGAATACTATGCCCAATGAAGCTCTCATTTATAAATGAATGTTAAATAAAGACCTTCTAAAACAAATGAAAATTGATATAATTTGTCACCACACATCCAGTCTTACAAATGATTCTTAAGGATGTGCTCCACATAGAAACAGAATATGATAGTCAGCATCATGAAAGTATGTGAAAGCAGAAAATCTTCTAGTAAAATTACAAAGGAAATCCAAGATAATGGGGATATTTATGGAAAATGGCAGAACCAAGCTATTACTTATCAATAAGAATCTTGAATGTAAATGGCCTAAATTCTCCAATTAAAAGATACAGATTGCCTAAATGGATTAAAATACAAGATCCATTTATTTGCTCCTAGAAGAGACACATCTCACCAACAAAGATACATACAAACTGAAAGAGAAAGGATAAGAAAGGATATTCCATGCTAATGGAAAGCAAAAATAAGCAGGAGTAGCGATCCTAATGTCAGAGACAATAGACTTTAACACAAAAATTGTTAAAAGAGAAAATAAGGGCACTATATAATAATTAAGGGATCAATTCAAGATGCCACTATAGTAAATAGATATGCACCCAATGCCAGGGTGCCTGGCTACTTAAAACAAAAACACCCTGCTTTCATCAATGGGCAAATCAGCTACACAAGAAATCAATAAAGAAACAGTGCTAATCCACACTATGTGCCCAATGGCCTTAACTGTTGTCTGCAGAACATTTAATCCCACAAGTGCAAAATACACATTCTTTTCATCAGTACATGGAACTTTCTGTGGGATAGATCATATGCTAGGTCATAAAGCAACTCTCAACAAATACAAAAACAATTGAAATCATAACATGTATCTTTTCTGATAGCAATGGAATGAAGCTGAAAATTAACAACCTAAGAAACTCTAGAAAACATGTAAACACATGGAGACTGAACAATATGCTTTTGAATTAACATAGAAGAAATCAAAAGATAAATCAAGAAGTTCTTAGAAATGAATGAATATGACAACACAACATATCAAAACTTATGGGATACAGCAAAAGCAGTGTCAAGAGAGAAGTTTCTAGGAATTAGGGTCTACAATAAGAAACTGGAAATGCATTATTGGAAATGCATGAAATAAATGGTCTACCAATGCATCTCAAGGAGCTAGAAAAACAAGAATACACCAAACCCTAAATTAATAGGAAGAAAGAAAGAATTAGAGAAGAAATAAGCAAAATTGACACCAAAAAAGATACAAATATCAGTGAAATGGAGAGTTTGTTTATTGAAAAAATAAACAAACTTAATACACTAAGGGCTCAAACAGAAAAAGAGAGAAGACTCAAATTAATAAAATCGGCAGTGGAAAGGAAGATATTACAATGAATACCACAAAAATGAAAAGAATCATCAGGAATTACTACAAACAGTTAAAAAGTTACCCAAAAGGAAAAACCCAGGACTGGATGGCTTCACTGTTGAATTCTACTGGATATTTAACGAAGAACTAACTCCAATTCTTCTAAAGCTATTCAAAACAATTGAAAGGGAGGGAATCCTCCCAAACTCCTTCCATGAGGCCAGTGTCACCTTAATTCCAAAACCCTAAATTAGATACAACAAAGAGATAAACCTATAGACTAGTATCTCTGATGAACATAGATACAAAAATCCTCAAAAAATAC